TTATCCAATAATTAATACTATCTACCGCGATTTAAAGTCTAATTCTAAACGAGAATTGAGCTCTTTTTGAGATCTGATATTTTTATAGAAGGTATCCACAAAATATTGTACATGTAAATCATCGATTATTCTACTTGCTTCATGATCGTTGAATTCGAGATCCATGACCTGTCTGAACGTATCATTGGCTTCCTATATCATGGTACTCCTAATGATTATTAGTAATTCAAATCACGCACCAGCGCGTGTACCCAATTCATCGAAATTCCCACTGACAGATGTGCACAGAGTAATAGGTAATAATATCCGTAATATAGTCACGTTTTCGTTAAACAATGACAGCTACTGCCACGAACGTTTGACGGTCAAAATTAACGACGAACAATTATTTGGAAACGTTGCTCATTATGCCCTATGCAAATCGTTCCCGGGAACTAGAATAACGTTCAGAAGAACGAGCAAAAATTATTATCGTAGATAAAGTACTTACATGCATTTAGCTATCAATAATTAGTACCATCGTGCAAAGCTTAGCTTATTTTTAATTTTATTTTTCCGCGTATTTGAAAGAATTATAACTCCTGTTTATATCAGTGTCTCAAATTAACAACGTATTAGGCTTTGTTCGTGTTTCTATTTTTTTTTTTTATTTGGATAAAATGTTGGCAATTGGGACCCAGTCTTGTTTAACTAATAACACACTGTCTTCTCGCGAGAATACAAAATCAGAGTAAGGATTGTAGATGTTGGACTAAAAATAGTTCCACTCAGCAGCATCCAACGCACTCGCAGGAGCAGGAGATCCTCCCGCGAACGGAATTGTGGGTCGTTCTGCAAATAGGATACTATATAAATTGCTCTCCGTGCCAGTTCGCAAGAAAGTTCACTCTATATCGTCATAGATATGCGCCAGTACGGTTTTCCAATGATTCTCTTTGCATTTGGTGTCTTCTCGTCGCACGCCACACCCAAAGTTATTTAACTGACTAATTAAAATGGGAATGATATATCTGCAAACTGAACGAGAGTCGTTTGAAAATTATTCATCTCGTCTGTGCATTAAACGTTCACTCGTATGTATGTTAATATTTTTAGTAACCGAAATGTTAACGTAATCTTGGAGTTTACGGTTCAGGGAAAGCTGCAGCAGCCTTCTAAAAATATTAAATCCTTTGTTTCACGGTTAATTGTTTGTTGTCTATCGTTTCCGATGGGGGGTATCGTTTGTTGATTTCCACTCTTCGGGAAAGAAATGTTTTTACGACGATATCTTTGAGCTATCTGCACAACGATGCGTTAAGTAATTGAAAAGATAGCAATTGCTGCATCTCTGTCGTTCGAGATAAAAGAACGAGAACTCATACATGAGCGTTGATATTATAGCAAAGGTCAAGGGAAAATTTGTTCCTTTTTCACCTTTCACTCCTCTTGAAGGAGGTTCCTCTCCGCAGACGCCGTTTTCTACGTTTCGATTTAGTATTTTGCGGTTTGCTCGCACGTTTTTAAGTGCGTTGTATTAATTACCGGATGCTTCGTATCATGAAATTGTCAGCTAACGGGGCCACACAAATTCTATCGCGTTGTAATGAAACTCTTTGTATCGAAGATCCTCAAGTTGCCCCAAGTAATTATGGAACTTTATCCGTGGCGTCAGTATGCGTCGATCCGTTCGGCGTTATAGATAATTAAATTTGTGACGATGGTTTTGTCAGTTATGATACGTGTTAACCAACAAGGGAAAGCTAGTTGCCAAAATTCTCAACAAACTCTGATTAAATTTGAACTTCTTCGAGCCTTAAACTAACAGTTTCGCTAAACACACGAAACTTTAGATCTTCAACAATAGCGATTCGATCACAGACGATGTAATATGTTTAACAAAGTATTAATTTAAAGGATCGCAAATAATTTGAAGCTCTAATTAAAACAGTATCAATGTGACGTGTTGGAAATTATTCCAAAGTTCTTTGTCCGTGTCAGCTCTCGTTCCTCTATGAATTCAATAGAAAATATGCTCGAGAATTTGGGCTCCGGTTCTAACCAAAAGCTGACTCGACAGAATAGTACAGCAAAACGTCGGTTATCCAATTTAATAGGAAGACAAATTCGTTCCGACAATGGATTTTTCAGATCGTAGGTTTGGGAAACCCAAGAAGATAGGAAATAAAATAATTTAAAAAGATACACGATTGGTGCTTGACAAATATATGATATAGAATACGTTAAAAAGCTAATTGCAGTTAAATTTCACAATGGTTTCCAATCGCAATGATATTCTACTTCCTTTTTAATACCCAGCGTTGGTTTTCTTTTTGTTATGAATGGAAATATTTTATGACGGTGGAAATGAACTATGTAATTTTAACTACGTGTTTACATCTCGTGCTCGACTATACTGGAACACTAGAATCGTAGGCATAATCTTATAGGTTAGCGAAATTGTTTATGCATGACAGAAACAGGTTTCTAGGCATAAACAGTACTAGCGTAGGATTTTTGATACTGCAGACATAAAGTGGCGTATATACACTTGCAAACTCATTGATATAACAGGTATTAGCATTTATAATAATATAATAAAACGTGCATGCATTAATTTTTACTAGGATACGTTTTGTCCTTAAATACAAAGAAATTTGATGAATTTCATAAGCTTTCTTTATTCGGGTTCAATTGGACTAACGAATCATCTGCATATTATAGATGGGAAATGTCTCAACCAGAGATAGGTAGAATTTTATTTGAATAATAGATAACCAATAAGACCAACGTATAGTAATTTATTAATTTAATCGACGTCTACTGGATCGAATATATTTCTCTTATGGAATATTTTATTGTATAAAATTTTTATTTTTATTTAATGGATAGTTATTCATGTTTTCTAAAATTGTCCTCACTTCTGGTCTTAACCATACTATATTTGTTATTGACGATACGAACGTAACAACATCGTTAACGTTTTTGCGGTGACTTTGGTGTCATTTCTTTTATTCGATTTGTTGGTCCGCAAGCTCCTTCAAATACATTGTTCCGCCATCTCTTCGAAGACATATCGTTGTTTTAATGGATACTGGCAACGAAATGTGTTCCTTTAAAGTGGGTATTCCCACCACCATAACAAGACTGTAACATAACAAGCGCTGATCGATCAAGTATGTTTTGCTAGAACGATAACGAGCGTCGTTCAAATTGGACAACGACAGACAATATAACATAGCTGAAACTAGGTCAAAATCAGAGAGAGGCAAAATTTCATGTTAATGATAACGTACAATAAATAATGAATAAAATCGATGCGTAGAAATCGAATCGAATAGTTGAATTTTTGTCCGATCATTGTGTAGTATTCAATTATATACTTGAAATTTGTCGTTTTATCTTTTTATTTAAATGGAAATGTTTCTCATCTTTGATCAAAAGAAAGTTTGATTCTCCGAACGAAGATTAAATCTTTATACTGATTTTATCAGATTAGTATCATGCTCCTCAAGAATATTTTCTAACATTTTTCGATTTTCATCGACACTTGATAGATAACATATATCTCGCTCCACAACAAACAAAACATTACCTAATGTCGCATTTATTTTTCTCTTTTTCATAACAAGTTTGTTGTGACTTTCCTTTACAATTTGTTATGTGATATGCTATGTAATCATAGTGCGTAATGTAAACAGCTTTTTTAGAATCAATTTTTTTTTAAGAAGCAATTAATATGGTTGTTCAGATTGATTGTGTCTATCAGTTTACTTGTTATGAGCAATTATAAATTTCGTAACAGTCTGAAACGTTCGTCTGTTTACACTATTAAATTTAATAAATTCGCCCCTTCTAAATACCATACAGTAGCACGGAAGACGCGAGCTTCCGACAGATAAAATCGTGAAAGAGAGACGTGCGTTCTATCAATCGTAAAATCTTGCTATGGACATCATTTTAACGGAATGGACCCCTCAGAGGTATTCTTCTCAGCTGTCACTGATATTCGTCAGTGTATATTCACGTTTAGATAATGAACGTTCTGCTGTAGAGAGGACAGGGTTCAAGATAAACATTTATTGGAGATTGTAGTTTCAAAGCGATAGAATATAGATTATTTAGTTAATTATGAGAAATATTATTGAAGCTATTAATATGTAAGCTGAGAGGCAGTTATTCACAGACGGGGAACTTTTTAAAAATAAAAACACATCTTTGTTTTATATAATTTTTTATTTATTTCAGATCAATCAAACCATGATAAGTATGTAGGTATAGTTCAATCGATAGATTGGTACTTTTACAAAAATACCCCCTAAATTATGGTAATAATTATTAATAAATACAAAATACAGTCTCTTAAAAATAAATTCCTAAATATAGTATAAACTAAAATTATCCGTCTAGATCAAAATACGTCTCAAATTCTAATCCCCGGTGTCTTCTGTTTCCAGATTCCAACGATCCCGTGTGTGCTCACGGATTTAAAAATCGACGAACGGAAAATCCCAACGATTCGATCGATGGAACTTAATCGCATCGTTCGATCGTTCGGTGGGGGATTAGTAGCTCAAAGCAACCTCTCGCGAATATCTTATCAAACTGGGAATGCAAATATTAACCGGCAAATATTGCGCGTCGGTGCCGAAAGCGCGCGCGTTTCGAACGTTTCCCCCGATGGCGTCGAAAACACGTGGCAAACGTGGTTATCGCGCGAGCACGCGCGAGGGTTTTAACTATGACCGAGTTCCCGTTCCGCGAACCCGAAACGGGGCTCGCCCCGTCGTGAATTATCGTACGTTTCGCGATTGCAAATCCGTCCCGTAGTCGAGCGTTGTACGCGAGAGGAAGAGACGCGTAGCGAACAATTGCCGCGAAAAGGCCTGTTTCGCCTTGGCGGGCAGATAAGCGTCGCTTAATCGACAGCCAATCGGGCAGGGGGAGTGTGTCCCGTGTCCAGCCAATGAGGAACGAACCGTTATCAACGCGGCTCGATGCAATATAACTGATGGCGAGTGACGCCGGTAGCACAGAGGGTCGGAAAACGCGTATGAGCGGACTATTTTCTGGGTTCTTCTTATGTTCGCGGAGCGTTTGCTCGCGGAACAGCCGAGAGGACGCCTTTTGACGGTGGTGTAAGCGCGACCAGCGAACCGTCGGAAGGCCGGACGCGATCGTAACGTTCGTAACTGGCGCGACGCGTATCAGTCGGTCGGGTGATCGTTGAACTATTCGGCTGTGCGACGAGAGGACGGCGCTTAACCGCAGGTTCACCGAACTTCGCGCATCTGACGAGGCACATAGACGTTTCACGCCCCCGTCCGGGTCATCGTGTGAGCCCCCCAGCAGGAACCACCATGTCGTCTGGACCTTTGATCGTTCTTTTGGCGGCGACCGCCTTGACCGATGCCGCCTCGATCGGGCATGCCAGCGTCAAGGCCATGGACTGCGATAGGTGAGTGAAAGGGAAACGGAGAAGGTGCAACCGCGGCTCGAATCCGTTCCTTCCGCGCTGGAAACGAGGTTTCGCGGCTCCTTTAAACGACGCGGTACGCTCTTGGCCCAGAAACTCGAATCTTTCCGGCGAGGCTCCTTCTTTGTTCTGCGTCGCTGGGACCAGACGTCTAAAAAATTCTTATTTAAATGCAAATTACCGACCAACCGGAAAGAGACGAACGTCCACGGTTAAGGAGGAATAAAAATTCCGCGATCGAGCACCACGCGAGCGTGAGTCCCGGTCCTCTTTGGCAAATCTTGGTAATTTTATAATTGTGCACGAATTGTTATTTGTCATCGTTTAAAAGCAGAAGCAAAAATTTCGTTGAATCAAATCCACTCGATCCCCCGTGAGTCGAAGCTTCAGTTCCTCTTTGGTAAATCTTGGTAATTTAACAATTACGTATTATTATTTAATATTTATATTTGACAACGGACGTTATTAGCCACCAAATCTCAGTGGTGAACTTTCTTCGTCGTTTCTCTCGATAATACTTTGTCCCAGCTAGCCACCCTCTGACACCACTGACGGAACTTTCGCGAAGTTTTTAAAACCACGACCAACACAATACCTGTAATCGCTCCGCCTCTATTTTATAAAATGTTTCATTCTTCTCTGCAATTTTCCGCTACCTTTCTTTCGAGTTTCGCGGTTTCAACAATTTGTGATATTTTTTTATTTTTGTGGCGCCAGCTCTATCCGTTACAACCGCGAAACTGTGTCAATTTTTATTGTTTCGAACGAATGGAACTATTAAATAGAGAATATCTTTCTGAAGATAAGTCTAATTAAATTAAGGAAATAGAAGAGAAGATTAAAAAGAAATATGTGTGATGAGAAATATGTGTGTGAGTATCCACAATAATTATTCCGTTCAGTTTAACGTACATAGCAACGAAAATATCATCATTCTTGAGATATCTAGAGTATTTTCGTCTATCTGCGCGATTTCCTGAATAATAAGTATATTTAAAGCACATGAAAGCAATAACCCTTGCCCTCAATCAACGTTTATCGTATTATAGACCTGTAATTCATTAGATAATTTATCTTGTGAGTTCTGGAAATTCTTAAGTTTCACGAGTTTAACTTCAACGTCGTGTTAGGGATAAATGGACGCTAAAAGATTATGTGAAAATACGAAGTATAATTGCATTCGAAATATGTAAGATGTTCACACAAGGTGAAATATTAAAAACTTCTCAGCATTCAGTCATCAGCAATAACAAGGAAAATTTACATTATTCTGTTGCATAAACTTTTAGGCCCAGACTATACTGAAATCGAAACTCTTGATTTCACTTTGCAGAATTTGATATGCTTGTAATAATATCCAAGAAGGATATCGCGGAGTCAGTGCCCCGCAGATATATTGATAGTACTTAACGGATGCTATGCTATAATATGCTTTGACACGGACACTGTTCCTACGAATAACCTATTTCATTCACTTTACTTAACATTCACTGACTTAAGTTAAAAAAGTTTAGCTAAAATGCTCTTTAAAACCCTAATTTCAAATTTCTACTACGTCAACGTCATACAAAAATTCATTTATAAGAGATAAATACGATTATCAATAGGTAACTTTAATAACATAAAAAGTCATGTAAAAGTTGAGATGGAATTCTGCATTTCCATTACAGATAAGGTTGATATCGAGACAGTTTTGTTTTGCATCACGTTCGTTAGACTTTTATCAGGGATCTACGACACGAAAATCTTCGAAACCCCAGATAAACTCGGCCCGCGAATATTTGACATTTTTTAGCGTACGGGGAGAACCGATAATATAGAAATATTACGATATCGCTCAAAACGTCGCACTTTACGTCGATGTAGCAAGTACTAAACCGTGTACGGCTCTTACAGTCGATTGCTATGAAAGCAGAGTCCTTCATTTTAAGTATTTGCGTTGAATTTTTACCGATAAACGTAACGCTTTAATTGTTGTGCAAAAATACTCCCATATCTCGTAGCGACTTCAAGTGTTGCGGGAATTGGAACTTTATTAACAATTGCTGCTCGCGAAATATCGTCGAACGAATTTTCCGAAATTTCCAACGTTGAAATATTTTATAAATTTCAAACGAATATTATAATATAGGCGTTTCCTTGATTTGATGCTTAAAAATTTGCAAGATTATTTGGTTCGAAGGTAAAAATATTGTAATATTTTTTTATCTGTCAATGTTATTGAAGTTTTCTTAAATAACGAAGCGACGTCCGTAATATTGATCGTATGAAAATATTTCAACGAAGGACTCGTTGGAGCGTACGGTTTCGCGTGGTTTTTCGTTCGCGTCGTTCGCTAAAAATAGAAAATGTTCTTGATGCATGAGAAATCCTTTCTTCCGGCATCGTTTGTCATCTCGTTACGATCTACGAAAGAATTCGATAGAGTCCAGTTTCCTGCGTCGCGTTTATTTACAACTCATTACAGGCAGCAGTTAGACGCAAGGTTGCAATATAGAGTTCTGTTCATTGTAAGTACAGCTTGGTTAGTCCTTTTATGCAATCGTTTTGCGCATCCGCGCCTATCATTATACACCTCTTTTTGCGTAGATAAAACGGAATGGGAATCTGAGCAAAAACGTTAAGTGAGACGGAACTCTACGGGAATGTAATGATAATGTGATCGATAAGATTGCGATCTCACATACTGTGCTCGGCTCGGACATTTGCGGAAAACCGCGATGATCTTTATGTGAAAGGATTAGCACTGTCGATCGAAGAAAATTCTATTCGTATTAATAGAATCGAATCGTGGATCGCGTTAAAATCTCAAGTATCCATTTTTGCTCGAATTCGAAAGAGTTTTTTGTTATTGATAAGTCAGACGATCTGACAATGGAAAATATAATCACGATATCCGATAATTTGTGTCATTGTTAAATCTGAAGCTGTCGATAACATCATCGTCCAGTCTGTACTCAGCTGGAAATAAATAACATTTTTTTAAGTTTTTGTTCGCATAAAAGCGTAACGAATTACTTCTCTTAATGACAATTGACTTCAATTTTAAAAACAAAAGAGATAATGCCTTCAAAAAGATTCGATGAACAATACTGTTATTATTTAATTCTTCAGAATGTGCTCAATAGAAAATTGTCTAACGATTGTGGAAAATTTTCGTTTTCAGACCCATTAACTCGTTAGGCCCTACAACTTTGATAGTTTCATAATTTTTTTTCAAATTGATGTTGCACCAATGTTATTACATCTTGCAGAAATAATTCTGATTTATCCTCTTCCATCTTCGCCATAAAATAATAATTTCGTGTTCAAGGAATTTTTTATTCTCAAATAATTGCTTTTAGTTTCCTTTTGTAACGCTCGTGCAAGCAATCGTTAAAGCAATTATTGAAAATTAGCTGTGAGAATGATAGTTATGGCTTCGATGATGAAGGTATGAAATGTCTGTAATTATTATCTTTTGAATTTGCAAACAGTTTCCGTGGCTAATAAGTTCTTATCCCGAAAACTCGTTCAATCAGCTTGGACAGCTGATTTTCTCGTAACGTGAGCGAAGCACGTGTATTTAACCATTCATGCTTGCACACAACTCGTCGACGAAAGGCTTGATACACGACGCACTAGCTTATTGAATGTTATCAGTCACTACCGAGGATAAATAATTATCGTCGACCACACACTTCGGTTTATCAAAGGGAGCAAGCTTTAACAACGATGCATGAAAAGGTTCAGCAATTTTGCATATTAACTGTTTGAAATACTGTTTAAAAATTTAATTCAATTTTCAATACGAAACAACTTGACTTCATTCATAAGATTGGAAATATAAGACAAATAAAATACAAAATCCATTTCAATCAATAGTTCGAAGTTTGTTCAAGTTCTACTATTTTCTGTTTCATTAACTTTACATAACATGTATTAATTAAAAAAAGAGGAACTTCATGTTTGGCGAACCTAAATCACACTGCAATAATGGAATTTATTCTGTCATATTTTAGTTACACTGATATCCTATTGTACACGTCTACTTATTACGTCGTTATAATAATAAGTACAAGATTGCTAAACGGAAGTTGCCTCTTTGTTTGGGATTTCCAATAAAGCGTCGACTTTCTTGAAACATTGACTCACCAAAAATGTTTGCTAATCTTTTATTGGAAATATTTCTTGACACGTATCAATCGTCATCGATAATGCTTCATTTTCATTCTATTTTTGTACGATCGTTTCATATTTTCACCGAAATATTTTGCAACTGCTTTGAGAAATTTCCTTTTCGAGAATTTCATCGCTTTGATCGTCGACGAACAACGTACTCGCGCACAGAACTTTTGATGCCGTTTTCTGGCAGTGCTCGAAATAACAACAGTGATTCTGCATAGCTTTCGACGCGATTAAATATAATTGGACCGGTCTTATTGTTCCAGTGGGAACTCAGTCCAGTGGTTTACCTTCGAGTTCAAGGCTAATTCATAATTCATAACTGTCTGTCAACCAGATTTCCACTATTTTTGTTTTCTTTACTTTCTGCCCCGTGGCAAATTTATACGGTGAAAACTGATCCTCGCCGCTTTCTTAAAGATAATATCGCGACAAATGGCTTCTTTAACCCCAGGCGTGCAAACTGTTTCTCTCTGATTCGCGAAGTTCTGCTGTCACATATATAATTACTGAACTTGTAAAATCAACATTGATGAATGGAAATTCAATCAGGAACCTAAATGCAAAATAACAAAATTCGAATTCTCGAAAGTATGTTTAGTTTCGTCTCCATATTTCCCCCAAAATCGAGCCATTATTCCGTATCCTCGATATATTTCAAGCGTATCGAAATCCATTCGAATAATGCAACTCGTGAGACCAAACAATCACGATTGGCACCATGTAACCTTTCAACATTTCAGAACGTTCGTTCCGAAGGAATGGTTGGCGCACCCTTACCAGGTCGTAGACCGTCGAATTCCGTTTCTCTTGCATTA